ACTTGTCTCACGAGTAAGTTTTCATCTGCCTTCCAGTCTGTGCTTCACTGACAGTGAATTCAAAGGAGGGAGCAGTGCTAGTTCCAAAGATTTTCGAGCATCAGTTGCCACAGCACCCCAGTCTAAGTGTCAGAGATGCAAGGAAAAACAAAACAAAAAGAAGTATGAGACTAAATTATGTAAGTACATCAAGTAAGCCCAAAATTGTACAGTTTCACAAATACAATTTTTTACATTTTGCTGTTATTTGCTGCTCTCAATCTGTAGAGACCACTGACATTGTCACAAAAGATACCGTCCAGTGCCCTGAGTGAACTTTACAAACTCACATGGGAAACGTGGGTATACTGTTGCCACCTATCACCACACCAAAAAGCTTGCTTAGTGTATCATCACCAAAGAGCATCTCCAGCTAGTAACAGTTGAAAGTCTCTGCCAATAACGCTGAAACACATTACACATGGTCTAATGGGCATGAAATACCCCTTCTTTTTTTTTCCCCCATCAAATTGCATGAGACCAACCATTCTAGAAGGAACAAAAGAAATACAGTCTACTTGTGCTGCTCTGTTACCTGCCTTTCTTCAATCTGCCATCCTGTTGCTTCTGTCTTTAATGGGAAGAGGAGCCTGATGACCAAGCCCAGACAACAGACGCAGACTCAAGCGTGGCTTTCTTGGCGAATGCATTCACTCATTTTCAAGCTGTGGTTCTGGGATTCACCAGTCACTTCTTGTGAATTCTCAGAAGACGACCCAGAAAAGCAGGTTCATACACACTACGAATCATTTTCAGCATCATCATCTATGTCTGCTATCTCTTTTGGTTTCCTTATGATCAATAGCTTTTCCTCTAAATCTTGTTTCCTTTTTAAAACCATTTTCACTTAACAGTGGTTGCTACACATCCTCTGTCATTGCCTTTAGTCTATGCAACCCAAGCTCTCACCAGTTCTGTGGTTTCCTCAAGATGTAGTTCAGCTGAAGACAAAAACCAGAACCAGCAGAAAGACACTTGCGGCACTTTGGGCATAGGCACCAACATTTCTCTATACACCTAGGGCATATTCACATGGGTATGTTTGTGTTTCTATTTGAGTTGTTTTCTCAGAACCTGAGGCACTCCACTGCAGAGGTAGGCAGATGTTTTCAACAACTGTCAAATCACGTAAAAAAAAAAAATTCTGATTACAGAAACATGTTTGAAACAGAGTTGAGGAAAGTGCTAAAAGCTAGGGTGAGTGAATTCCTTATGAAAACCACATAGAAGCAGAGAGCAGTGAGTCTGCAGTGGATGTGCAGCACCTCAGCCAGCAGTTTAAACATGTCATTGGAAAATGCAATGTTCGTTACCAACTGATGACTGCAAATAATTTGTTGCTTCAGCTGTTAAGGCTTTGTTTTTTTTCTGGTTCTGCCTCTATCCCCTCCTACATACTGCTATTTTTATATACAGCCAACACTGCCAGATGTCACATTGTCATCTGCCATCAATACACCATCACCTTTTTATTATGAGGTTTTTGCTACTTCTAATCTTTAGGTTATACCCGAAGTTTCTGACATTACAAAAGCTAGGAAGTAGAGAAAGAGGTGTTAAAAAGCAAAGTCTGACCTAAGACTCCATAAATGTAAACAGTTCTTCCATCACATTTTTAGTTTACATGATAAACTAAGCTAAATGAGCTAAGGCAAGTGAAGCTATATATGCTGATCTCTCACTCAAACAAGCCAAAAAAAATAAAGAGAAATAAAAAATATAATTATTGAAAATTATACTGTTACCCTACTATGGGGCAGGATTTGTACATTTTTAGCAACAGAAAATGTGCATCATTTGAAAGACTGATAGTGTTTGTAGAAGGCGGAAAAGGTGATTTGACTTTTTTCTTCTTTTTGCACTTTTTCACGTGACTCCAGTGTTCCCAGTGATAGAGAACAGTGTCTGTCACAATTATATATACCACTGACAAAAAAATTAAATATAAACAAAAAATGAAATATAAACAAGTCTGCAGATAAAAAGAGGAATTAGGGAAACATCTCTGGGATGCAGAGGGATGCATGAATAAAAACCCTTACAAGACATCTTTTTCAAATATTTATCCAATTACCAATGCACAAATGACCAAACGAACGGCCCACTGGCTCAACATATGACAACAATTCATTAAGACAATGATGCTTGAAGGGACAGTTTTATTACGTCTCCTACACCTCTTCAATTCTGAGCCAGTGACCAAAGCAATAATGAAAACCTTAATCCAGAAAACATTTACAGCAAATTTAATTTCAGGTTCTGAAATTAAAAACACAATGTATTTGTATTCTTAATTAAAACACTATTTGGTTCTCCTCCCTTCTCACACCCCCCGTGATTCTCTAACCTTGCAATGGCATTTTCCATACAGTAACGCTTAAAAAAACTACAGTAAACACAACATAATCCTAAATAATAATTCATTTTTAATTACATGTTATAGAATACCTTGCAAACAAAAGAGACTCATTAAGGTATACTGACAAGTACTGTATTTTTTTTGGCAACCCTGGAACAAACCATAAGAAAAAGCAAAGAATTATTCTATAACCATGAGGGCAAGCAATGTCCTTCTAAACGTAGAGGATTCACATGTCAAAATGTAAACTAAAGAAAAAATCCACACTTACAGCAGATTCTTTTTTTTTTAATTCTTAGTGCAAGAAACATAACCAAGTTAATCACAGAATCAGTACTAATTAAGAATATGGAAAATTCTCCTATACAGAGGTAGAGTCCAGTGCACAAGGCTAAAACGATATTCAATAGTCTAAAAACAAGACTGAGCCAGGTTTTACGGAATCCACTTTTTAAAGTATCAGACTGTATGTACATACATACAATAAATAGACTATACAATCTTTAAAGTAGTTTAATAAACTTCACAAAAATTATAGTAGATGCATTGAGATCTTTACATAATCCAAAGTTCATATCTCTATCACCCAGAAATGGATAAAACCAATATTCCTGATATCGAGTTAAATGGAAAATAGTTTAGCAAAGTGTTGATAAATCAAAATATTTTACATATTTTAAAGCCTAAATTTATGCTTATAAAGGATGAATTTCAAATGCTCTGAAAATGTTCCTTTTGATACTATCTGTTAAGAGGTTTGAAATGCTGCAATTTGCATTTGTATTGTTATAAACACTTTCCTTACATTCCACGTTCAAGGGAAAAATGGACTTAGATACTCACAGTTCTGATTCATTGGCACAACAAGAAGTGATGAGAATTAGATTATTTTAAAGGCCCAAAGGACATCAGGAGAAGGGACAAAACCTTCATGTCTCAAACTACACAAATCACATTAGAAAGTTAACAGAAAACTGTTTGGTATTACTACTTCAATCCTGTCCTCTCCACCCCGAGGCATCCGATTAGCATTGCACTGGAAGCCAAGAGTGCATCTCTGGGCCCCTAGGTTTGCTACAAGCCCATAGGGCTTAATAAAACAAATACGGAATCTTTATGGTTTACCACAGTAGTGCATAAATCAGGGATGTCTGTTGCCATTCATTTCAGTGATAGTCGCAAAGAAAGGATTTCAGGGAAATGAGAGTTTCCAGCTATATCTTTCTAAACTGTGCAAAAAAATAGGAAAAAAAAAATATCACCTTGGGGCATTATAAAGCAAATATGCTTATACTCACAACTTATTTTCTGTGAAAGGTTCTTATAAATTCCAAGTGGGCAACAGCCACAGTAAGAGGGAACTAGTAACAACAACAGAAGACCTCAATAATCAGAGTTGAAAATTATGTTCACAGTTCAGTTACTTTTAATTTCTATAAGCACCTACACTGAAGAACACCAGGGTTTGTATTTTAGCTTCAAAATTGAATCTACTTGTGACAAATACCTTGTTAAGATTTCCATTCTGCTCTTCTACAGGACTTCTCACTGGAATAATTTTTTTAAATTATTTTTTATTTTATACAAACAGACTCACTTTGATTTAAAGTAAACACACAAAACTTGAGAATATTGCTTGCAACAATGGACCTGGAGGTGAAGGAATTAACTAGTTAGGCCATAAAAAAACCCCACCTCCTTCAAAATGAATTCTGCTAAACTTCTAATGCTATGAAAATCTGCAAAAAGGATCACAAGATCTGTTGCAAATTTCAGAGATTTGGCCCAAGTCTTATCGTCATCATCATCTGAATACTTTAATAACTGTATCTTTATATTAAGGAAAAATAAATGATTCCAAGAACTCAGGAAGGCACACGCACCCAAATATACTATAAATAAAACACATCATGAAATTACGAAGATCCTCTGATCCCTGTACACACTTTTGGTTTAGCACTATGGTCAAGTTCTCTCTTTTGAAATACAATAAAAGGCATACAAGAAATATAACATATGCATAATAATTATGAAGAATAATGCAAATAAGACAGCTTACAGAGAAAAGTGCAGTGAAAAAACCCAACGCTATTTACTCAGGGGCTTGTGCTACTGTAAATACAGACTTCGTATTTGCTGCTGTGCAAGGGGAAGAATTTATCCTGGGAAGCAGCAATGAGGAATGCAAAAAAAACCCAACAAAAAATTAAAAAATAATTAAGAGAAACCTTTAGGATGGAACTCTCCCAACTTCATTCCTCTAGTGCACAGTCATCTGACTACACGGTTTGTTTTCATGCTGCCATTTCTCTTCATCAGTATAGCGTATTAGAAAATGGCACAGTTCTTAAATATTTTTCTGCCTCTACTTCATTTTTTTGTTTCTTCTTCCAAGCACCTGATTTGCTGTTTCCTCATAAAAAGGGTAAAGCTGTTAGTCAAAGCGAGAAAAAAATTGTTGCCCATCTTCTCTCCCAAACACTGATTTCTCCATTTCTCCGTCCATCAGGTATTTTACTCGTGTGCTACACAATGGGGAGGCACTGTAAAGGCAGCTTGACAGATCTAAAAATAAAAAATCAAAAGTCTTTTTTCTTTAGCTCCCCGCCCACCCCGAAAAAAAAAAAAATGGATGGATGAAACAGTACGTCCGTAGGAATATTCCAGTCTCCTCTGTTAGGAGATAATAGCAGGGGACCATCTAACCACAGTCAGATTGTCAGCACTGACTGACCGTTTCTTTGCAGCTTTCCTGAAGTCCTTATATTTATCTTCACACAAGCGGGAAATGGCCTGCAAGACAAAAGAATTGAAAAACCTCAATTGCATTGACCACAGCTATACCAGATAACATAAAATTTAATGCAGATTTCTACATATAGGTAGAATTACAAAAAGTCACTTCATTAAGCAAAACACACGGAGACCTTCTCTTCAAATTCTCTTACTTGTTTCATTAATCTTAAAAAAAAGAAACGCACTGACACTGCGTTGCCCACCACAGCCAGTTTTGAAGCACTCCGGGAGCATATTCTGAGCCTTTTCTTTACAGGTTAACCATCACACAACTCATTGAGGTGGCAATCCTTATCTACTGCTATATGGTAACTCATATATAGCACTTCATTGGTGAAAAATTGTGGAAAACTTAATAAAACAATTACAAAAATTCTAAGTATATTTAGAAAATTTATAAAGAGGATGGCTCTTAATTTTTTTATTTCTTTAGAAGTTTTATATTTTTCTCCACTGATAAATGGTCTGGCAGAATGTTCGTCCTGTTTTGCTTACAGACCTGATGTTTACCTGCCTTTTGGAAAGAGATGGCGATTTCCATGTGATCAGGCTATCTTAAAGGGTGCCAGCAGGAAACATAACTCATATTCAGAATAGTTTAATTTGCATTAAAATACACAGAAATGTTAAAAAACTTTTTAACACAGCGGCAAAGATTATTCAAATGTCTACTCCTGTTATACTACCCTGGAGTTAACATTTTGTTTCTTCTACTGTTTTTAGCCAAGTTTAAAACAAATATTTATTATGGACCTCATACGCACAGATTTACTGTGCCCTAAAATACCATGTCTGTTAGAGCTCACATGGTTGGGACAGGCTATGGTTGGCATCAGTAGGGATGTTAACTCTGGTGTTCAAACCCATGGAACTGCAGAGAAAGCTCATTGCAAGGAGTTCTCAAGGTCAAAATAAAAATTACAATGAACCAAACCAGTATTTTTATGTACTCAGGAATGCTTTTAAGTGGTGTCCTAAGAGAGGATGTTTAATATAAAGTACTGTAGAAACAAAACCAGTACAAGTGTTTGATTATAAAACAAGGCAATACAAATAAACAGCCTGACTCTACTGATCATCCCTCTCCTTCTTCATCTTTACTTTTACAGCACAGCAAGTTGTAGTAGCGAAGAGTCCTGTCATTTCATTAGTTCTGCAAAGACAAGAGGCAGGTATGACAGAACAAGTTCACCTAACACTTTGGTCAAGCTGCCACAAAACATGGCTAAATTAAAATAAAAAATACCACACACACACACACACGCGCACACACACACACACACAAAACAATGAAAACATCAAACCAAAACCAACTCTCCGAACCCCCAACAGGAAATCAGTTGCTACTTTTTAGTTGGAAACTGAATTTCTTTTTGTTAAGACCACTCCTGAACACAATTGTCTTTCTTGGTGCACATGAAGAGAACAACAGAATAAATAACACAAATATTCCTGTTGCTTTGTAGACTTTAACTTAACGCACTTAAAACTGCTTAATAACATTTTATTTAGTTTAACCAGGAACTCAATGGACTAAGAAAGTTTCTGTAATTCAATGGGATTTAACATCCAATAGATGAAAAGAGCTTAATCATGGAATAATGTGCCAAGGCATGGCTTGGCAAATAGGTGTACTGAGGTGGAGCTCAGCTTCTTTCAGCCGCCAAATCAGGCTATTACCTTAGGCATCAAACAGCCAGACAAGGTAATCACTTCAAAATTGCCTGTTCCACAGGAAAATTTCTGTTCTGGCACTTGATCAGACAAAATGAAATTTTGCTTGGAAGTGGCATTTAATATTTGGCAACTCTAGTCTCTGGTGATTAATCATATGGGTAAGAAATACATTGACTGCTGTTTAAAGCAATCTTCTATCTAAAGATGTCTCTTCATTTGCAAATAATTTAAAAATTATTTGGAGTCTATCTGGCAAGTTAGTGAGTCAGTTTTAGCCTAACATATGGGAAAACAAGACAAAAGCAGAAAATTGTAAATATTTATTATTGCTCTTCAATTAAAATAAATCCAAACAGCTTACAAACACCTTTCTGTCATATTTCTGTTGCCTTGATTGCTGGAAAAAGAAACAAATTTTTGACAGTTGCAAGGGACCATTTCTCATATGAAATCAAAACATTCTTAAAACCAGCAACACTATTCAATCATGTGAAATTTTGTTGGACTTGATTGTAATATCTGTAATCAGCTAGAAAAACGTACACATATATATTCTTCCATTACATATACGCACACAGAACTAGAAGTCAGTTCCTCTGCTGAGTTATATGAGTCTAGATGAGACTTTGTCACTGGTGAAGGGGGCAGGTAAGGAGAAAGAAGGGGGGAGAAAGGCAGTAGGAGCAGCATTAATTTTGACTACTTGCACATGTTTGTGCGGGGCAGGAGAGCAACAGAGCTGGCTACGGCTTCACTGCTGGGAATACAGAGAAGCACACAACTGCGAGTGCTGGAACACCCCCAAAAAAATGGACAAACCAGAGAGAACTTAGCAGGGACAAAAAGCACTAAGTCTGGAAGGGTTATATATAAGGAAAATGTTAAAAAAAAAATCACTAGAACAACTAGAAGTTGTGATGATGCGGGTTCTCCTTAATTTATGGAGAATAAGAAGAAAAGCAATTGGGAAGTGGGTAACTCCTGACAGAAGAGCAGGGGAGTTTTCCTCTCCCTTCGCTTCTTGGCAAAGAGGGTTCTGAACAGACAACACACAGGATTGCAATCAATTGCTATGATAAGGGGAAGCTGGAAGCACATAAAGACACTTCTCTACTTGTAACTTACATATTTTTCTCCTCTTTTGTGTCTGTTTGAGCTATGTAACTGTAAGGTCATGAAAATATAGCACGTAGTTCAAAGGGTTTGAACCATGTGCTCAAGCGCTGTCCTAATAATAAAAGCTCAGACAACACACAGTCAGTCAAACTGGGAGTGCACTAACGAATGCTCTTACAAAATCTAACCCTGAAACAAGCCCAGTGCTAAGATCACAAACAGAAATAGGGTAAGCACGTTTTGTGGACTTACCCCAAAGAGCAGAATCTGACTCTTACTTATCTCAGTACACAGGAGAATAACCAAGTGTAAGAGTAGGAAATTACAAACTAGTGGATTAAGGTTGGATAACCAACAACCTTCTTGGCAGAAAAATCTCCCATATTAGAGAAGAGTTTCTCAGGAGAAGCAAAGGAAGCCTTGACATTTGACATAACTAAAAGGAAGGAGAACACACACTACAACATATGCTGGTTGGAACAAACAGCATTGGCAGGTGGGGAGACTGGATGATCTAATGGAAGGTTATTTGCCATTTTTAACTTGCTTGATTCCATACAATGGGAAAAGAAAAAGAGGAGTCATGAAAATGGTTTCTGGCTACTAGTTAGATTGGTATAACAAATTCAGAACACTGCCAGGCCACAGGCTGATGAAAAGTACAAAAAAATTACTTTCATTTTGTCTTTTAAAAGACAAAGCTGCCTCTTAAGTGTCTATTGAGGGAACATTAATAAGGAAAAACATCCACTACAGATGCTCCAGAAAGTGATGTTATTTTTAACAAGTACTATAACCTCTTATAACACCACAAAGCTGATGGATCTTGTCCAGCATTTCCATTTGATGAGGAACAGTATTTCAGTATTTACTAGCTTTGTCCTTTTTTTTTTTTTTGTTCCTTTTCATCACAGGCATGTGAACCTCATGGTATTTGCAGAAACAGCAATGTAGAAAAATGCAAAAGTAGCAAAAATGTGTTATAATAGAACAATTTCTCCATGCAAGACCTTTCGTGATCTCAAACGTCAGTAAATGAGTTGTTTTAAATCTTAGGACTGAGCAAGGTCCTTTCAGTTACCAGACAAGGCAAATGCTTCTACTGAATACAGACATTTGCTATGAGTTTGTTGTCTTTCATCACAGACTACAGCTTTTTTCTCCATATCAAAAATATCACAGCATGTGTGGTACTACATCTACTCCACTTGACAATCCAGGCAACTGTTCTGAAAACAGAGAACTCTGGGCTGAATAACACATGGGAGACCTAGAAAAGTGCTGCAAATGCATTTTGGTAACTCTTAGCAACCTAAATACCCAACTGTGCTCAAGGTACTAGGCTATAAATTATGCAGTTGTGGTGGGTTAACCTTGGCTGGATGCCAGGGTGCCCACCAGGTCACTCTATCACTCCCCTCCTCAGCAAAACAAGGGGAAGAAAATGAGATGAAAAACTTGTTGGTCAAGATAAAAGCACTTTAATTAAAGCAAAAGCCAAGGCCATGTGCGGAAGCAAACGCAAGAGAAAGATTTTATTCTCTACTTCCCATCAGCAAGCAACATCTGGCCACTTTCCGAGAAGTAGGGCTTCAATACACATAACGGTTGCTCCCAGAGACAAATGTCGTAACAATGAACGCCCCCCTCTTCCTCTCTTCCCTTAGCTTTCATTGCTGAGCTGATGTCATATGTTATGGAATATCCCCTCAGTCAATCTGGGTCAGCTGTACTGGCTCTGTCCCTCCCAAGATCCTGCCCACCCCTGGGGCCCTGAGCCTACTTGGGGGGGTGTTGGGGAAACAGCCTTGATGCTGTGTTAGCGCTGCTCAGCAGCAGACAAAACACTGGTGTTATCAACACCTTTTTAGCTCCCAGTGCAAAACACAGCACTGTGAGGGCTGCTATGGGGAAATTAACTTCATCTCAGCCAGACCCAATACAGCAGTCAACTGGTTTCAAGGGCACATTAACAACAACCAAGTATTGCCAGGGAACAAGGCAGTTCCCATCATGTTCCCTTCCTTCTGGCCACAGAACAGGGGCAAGGAGCTGGTAGACCAAGCTGGTTTCACAGCAGATACTCGTTCTCTTCCCTGAAGACATCCTCTTTGGCTAGCAGGGTGACTTTATAGCCAAATTCTGCTAGCAGCACAAAGCATCCCCAACACGGAAAAAAGTATAATAATATGGATTTATTGAAAAAAAAATTCCATTATTTCTTTTTAAAAAAGCCTTCTCATTAGTTAGTACAGAAGAACCACCAGTATTCTCTGGGTATTTACAGCCATTTTCTATTTTCTTCTAAGGTTTTAGGAGCTATCATTGTTAACTTCATTTGTAACCCACTGTTATATATTGTGTGCAATACAGACTGACGGTGTTGGGAAATGCTGAGTATTAAATTCTCTTCAAGAAGTAATTCACTCAATTTCATTACATGTAATGGCACTTATTATCAAGACTCACCATCTAATAACTTAGTAAACTACCTCTGTCTGTTTAAGATTAGAATTCCAATGAATTTTCATTTTTTAAAGTCTCTCAACAGAAACAAATCTGATGCAAATTTACATCACGTTCCACACACAGATTTAAGTTACATTCTTATTGGAGCTATCAGCAAAATTTAGAAAGACTGTTTAGAAAGAAGGAGAAATACAACTTTAGTGAAATCTGCTTTGATCCTTTCTCCACCACTTTCTGTTCCCATTAGAGTCACAAACAAGTCAATTAACCTTCCCACGCACCATTTCCCCCCCACAAAAACACGTCCAGTACTGCCTGCCTGTTTTACAGGAGCACTAGGAGTTTCAGAACGTGCAAAGCTCACTCTAGCCCACGGGCAACAACCTCCAGTGCAAAGCTGTTACGTAATTAAAGACGTTAAAGCAGCTAGCATCTAACAACAAATTTCAAAATTAGTAAAAAAATGTGTACACACTCATGCAATAATGCCCTTATTTGAAACACTTCATATCAGGAAACTCAGAAAAAATAGATGCCAGTCTTGTAAAGTGCCCACAATTATCTGATGATTTTAACTTCCTCCTGTGTCTGTAGGAATTCATTGTGCCCCGCATTTCACAGGTCCAGACCATCCGACACAGTGCTTTCTGCACATGGTATATTCAGGTCTCATAAGCATTTATGATTTATTCACTAAAGACGTGTCCTCATTTCTGTTTTCCCAATACTGAGAAAAACACCACAGGAGATAACAGACTTGGATCCACGTGAAGTAGAGCAGTAGCAGATAACAAGCACACGGAACAGTTATTTTCAGCAATACTTGTTAATATTCTGTTCTTTGAGGTGGATAATCAGTTTTAAGAAACCAAATGAACACACAAAACCAGACTGTGAACAGAGTAATTGTAAAACTTGTGGGTACTTGGACAATGCCAATTCAGACAACTGGAACTGAAAAAGAAATGGAAAGCAAGACAAGGTATGAAGCAAATTGGGCCAAAAAGCTGTTCCCACGTCCATGAGTATCCAAAGCACAAACAAAACAGTCAGGAAAACTGGAGCACATGATATCCTAATAGTTCATGGGAATATTTGGGAAGAGATGGGAGAAGGCAGAAACAACACAAAAATTCCAAATCCTCCTCTATATTCAACTCTGAGCAATCTAAAAAGGAAGTGTCTTACCTCAAGTTTATATGCCCTGTCCCTGCTGAGGGGCTCCAAAGGAAAACTCAGGTTATTCGCTTCTGCCAGGGAACGCAAATCAAAATAATACTTGGCATAAACACTGGAGGGAACATTAATATTGAACTGCAACAGCTCAAGAAACTGGCGTTCCAGCTCATTCCTGTAGAAAGAAGATAAATATGAAAACGTATTTCAGACTGCGCATTCTGAATGTAATTTACTTTAAATTGCAAATGGCATAAACCAAGTTAATTTCTTATTCTTGCCAGAGGCAATGATCCTAGCATAAGGTTTGACCTAGTCTACCAAGTCTATCACCGTATGTACGCCAATGAGGAATATGAAAGATGCTGCACCTTGCAGCTGGTACTGCAATGCCAATCAAATCCAGACACAAACTTTGCTAGTGGCAGGGCACCTTTATCAGTTTAGCTAATACAATCTGGGAAAGAAAAGCTAGCAGGAAGAAAAAAATCCTTGTAGTTTCTGCTGTACCTCCACTAGGTGGATCTGCAGACACAGCTATGCAAACAAACGCAGACATGCCCCAAATTTGTCAGACAACTCTCATAAATGCCACGAGCTACTCTAACACCTAAATTACTGGAGAAATTATTTACTTTCTTCAGCCTTTCATAATCAATCATTTAGAACCTGTCATGGGAAACCCGAATTTTTCAGCATACTGTCTTATCTTTCTTTATGAATAGAATGAAGCAATTTTTCCCTAGGAGGTGCAATCAAAATTCTCAGTGGTGATCATTTGTTTTTCAGTACTTAAAACAAGTGTGTTTGTCAAAATACCCGGTAGGAACAGAGGTCCTATTTGAGCTCCCACCCTGTGAAAACTTTGGTATAGCGATATATTATTACCTACAACAGTATGTTAAAAAGTGTATTAAGAAATAAGTAGAATAACAAAATTAAGGACTGGAAATTTTCATAAACTGCATGGTAACTAGATATCCCACATCATACTTACACAGGGACATATGATAAACCAGCAATTTCAAGATATGAGAAATAAAAAAATAAATGGGTGGTAAAAGCTGTACATGTTTGCTGAAAAGTATATGGACTGCACAGCTGTGTTACAGCAGGTACTGACTAACTGTGATATGGCATTTAAGTTACATTTTGACTGCAGTGTAAGTGTGCAAGGCATGTGCAGGCAGTTGGTATATAGAGAAAAAGCACTGCTACAGTAGTTTTTCAACACTGAATGATTTTTCTTCTCTTTTCTCTTACATCATTCTTACATCATAATAATTGTCTTTCCTTACCTTCACTCTCTCTCTGCGAAAATTCTATGTCTACCTAATGATAAATATTAATTAACATTAAAAGACTATGTAAAAGCGGGATATGGGCTCTTTGGAGTGAATCCACATTGTTGAAGATTCTAGGTTTTCAGAAATACAAATTTAAAAACATTACATTTTAAGACATCTATCGATAAATACAGACAATTATCTTTAAATGTCCTTTTACACTGCCAAGATTTTACTTTCTGCCAGCTAAGCCTAAAGGTCTGTGCTAATGGATAATGTAAAACCTGTTTTAATGGAGAAAGACATTGGCTGTAGCTCTTTTGAAAAGCATCCACAAATCTTTAAGAACAACACATGGCCTCAGAGTCTTACTATTCCCTAGTTCCCAGATTTGAAGGTTAGATCAGCAGAGTAACTACAGCTGAGAAAGAACAAAAAAATACAGATTTGAACTAATGTAATATCACTAACAACCAGTATCCTTCTTCCCCCATATATCCACACTAGGCTGCTAAGGCATATGCTTTCCTGTGGCCACTCCCCAAATTCACACAAGCTCAAGGTAATGCTACAGACATGACTACAGATCCATACCGCACTTCAGTCCTCCCGAGTCCTCTGCTGGCTTTTAGGCACAGTTCAATGTACTGCTTGTGACTTACAAAACTCAGAAAGGTCTGCATGATGTTTTGCAAGACACACATATGCTGAATGATTCACAGCAGCTGAAGGTTTTGACCTAGAGTTTTTCTGCCTTATTAATAAAAACAATGAAAACCCCCATCTTGTGTAGAGTTAGACACTTCAAAATCATAATCCTGTATTGTCCCAAGTACACGAAAAATAAGAAATTAAAAAAAAAAAAATCCACCACACTAGGGATAGGAGGTAAAAATAAAGTTGGCAAAACTGGCAGCAGGAAAAAAACC